CCCCCCCCCCCCCACACACACACACACAAACAATTTTCTATTTACAAGGGCATGCATGAAAAATGTTAGGTAATGATTGTTCATTTTAAAGAACAGAGAAAAGTTCCATTTGATCTTAAATTTTTTCTTTACCATAAGATACATATGGTGTCTGAGATCTGTGAGTAATTGTTATTTTCCACAAAATAGAAGAAGTAACAATGAGTAAAATTGTCTATATTGTAGAATGTTTGATACTTCATTATTATGCCGAGATACATTCATTACCACAAAATAGAAGTAACAAGGAAGACGCAAAATAGCACACACTAAAATCTTTCGAAATAACTAGAGAAGGAACTTTTACTTACATCTACAATCTTCACATCAGAAGAAAAATCAGTATGGCATTCAACAATTTAGTAATTAATAACCCCAACATGCTTTAGAAGAACGGTAATTCATGTTGCCCCAGAGATTTGGGATAATGGTCTGCTGTTGTAATACCATACAAGTCAATTTGATCAAGTATAATGTTAACTTTTACATTAACCCTTGTGTTTCCTTCTTCTTTAGACTGCTGCATGCATTTTGGAGGTTTGATCTCTAGGCCCATGAACACAAACAGCCTCCTAATAATGTTATCAACCGGGCAAGCAATCATTTATTTTCAGCAAATATTTTGTATTTCCATGATATTGTTACCAGCTCAAAGAAGGTTGACTTCTAACTGTCAGCAAGGTATTTCCATGAAGCTTCTCCGTAAGTGTGCAATCTGCACCTCAGCTGTCTCCATTAGTATGGGGAAAATATTTGGGTAATGGTAGCAAACCTAGATAGATGATCAAGTTGGGAAACCATATTTGTGTTTTAGTTCTAGTGGATCTAAACTTTCCAATTTGTTAATTGCTCATTTAGCTGTATCACTTAAGTTTAGCATTTTATTGTGAACAAAGTTGCTTCTAGTCTGAAATATTCTTGTGAACACTTCCATTAACTAAAAAATGAATAACTAGGACTCATGGGAATCAATATTTTTGAACCTTTTGACAGGCACTGTTAACATACACCCTAGTTTGTTGCCTCTATATCGCGGTGCAGCACCTGTTCAAAGAGCATTACAGGTTCAAAAATTTGAGTATACTATCAGTCATACTGTTTGGAAGTAAGCAATTAGCAAACATGATTTTAATATTAATCTTTTGAATAGGATGGTGTGACAGAAACAGGTGTTTCACTTGCATACACAGTTCGTGCACTGGATGCTGGGCCAATTATTGCTTGTGAAAAGGTGGAACTTGATGATTCTATTAAGGTATTATATATTCTGTTTAGAGGGAACAGATTATTGCTAGCACTTCATATGCAAATTATAAACTTCTTCTACTATTTTGTTTACGGAAAGTGTTAGAGCTAAAACCTATGATTTAGTGATGTTTTTCAGGTTACAAACGGAAATCAATTTGGATGGGCGTTATGTTTCACTTGTTAGTAATATATTGATATTTATCTCAGTAGTTAGTCCTCATCATAACTTTGAAGTTTTGATCCGGGGGACTTAGAGGTGGTAGTAGAGTCTATTCTACTTCAAATTCCTCTGGTTGTAGTTAAGTGGATTAGTTAATATAGTACTGCTTCTTTAATCCATGCCAAGACGCTAGGAGAGTTTTCAATTTATGGGGGAGCGTTGAAGTGTATGCAAACCTTTCCTTTAACCCTAACCATGACTTTGGAGTGTTGGTGTAGCAACAACGACTTCAAGAATATGATTCTACCTTTTATTAAAGTTATCTAGATGAGCGCTTCTATTGTCAAGTTTTAGTTTTTGGACAACGATCATGCTTCACATGATTGTTACAGCCAAATATGTAGGCGTATAAAATTGCTTATAGGTCCCTTAGCACAGCTCAGCACAAACCGACGAACCATCGGGCGACGTATCCAAACACGAGCGTCAGTCCACAACGCCGAAGCCAAGTGACACGCAACGAAGCGAATTAACGAGGCAACGAGGCTAACGAACCGCACGCAAACAATGGAATACATCCATTCGCATGCGGAATCAAGCTAACAGTTCGGTGAGTCAACGAGTCATCCAACCATAGAACGGATTTGAACTCAAACACCGAGGCAGATTTACTGCCATATTGGGATTCGGACTGTCAAATCAGAGTCAACTCTGCCGAATTGAGAACTGAGCTTGGAGTTTTGGAGGCTTGAAGGCTTGGACATTCAGATCTGGTTCTTGGCGAGCATCCACGTCACAAAAGACAGGAGTTCGAGAGAGAGAAATCAGATCTCAGATCTACGCAGTCATCCTCCGGATCAAAGCTTGGCCTTTGATCCCGAGAACTAGGGCGATTATTTCCTTGGTGAATTAATCCCCCCGGCTATTATTTCCTTTGCGAAATAATACCCGTCATACTACATAGATCCGACCGGATCTAGATCGCGCCGTGGTCCACGGATTAACCCCGGCGTTGGCAAAGAACCCACAAAAGCGAGTGATCGCAAAACAGGAGCTCGTGATTCGTTCGAAAGGAAAGTTGTAATTTTTGTTTCTTTTTCTTTGATTTCGTTGTAACCGGATCTTTTAAAAAGACCGGATCTTTTGTAAGCAAAAAGCAATTACTTGAGAAAACAATAACGTCAATGAAGAACACAATTTTTTTCACGAACAATCTGGCGACCACAGTGGGAGCCGACGATCTCGCTGCCGAGATCGATGCGTCACAGCCGCGGATCTCGATCCCGGTCGAAGAGGAGGTCGAATATGAATTCGATCAACAGAAGTTCGAGGAGTATCTGTCATCTTCGTCCGGATCGACCTCCCCCCGCAAGTCCAAGAAGTTCTCTTCCAGGAGAAATGTACGTTGGTACGAAGAAGTTGAAGCTACCAACGACGATCTCACCCCGATTGACGCCAAAGCTGCGTCGGGTGAGGCTCCACCATCCTCCAACTAGATCAAGCTGGTTCCAACCAATTCCTCCGTCACCAAAGGAGCGGTGACTCTCAAAGAGAGCCCGCCAAAGGCAACGCCAACGCTTGGCCAAAGAATTCGTCAAAGCAATGGAGTCCACTGACGGAATCCGCTACAACGCGGATCTGAAGAACAGGAGAGGCAAACAGCCTCAACGACCGATGAATGGCGACTCCTCCAAGCCGCCAACGAACGAATGGGTCCGTGTCAAACGGAACCGTTCGACACTGGAGGAGCGCATTCGCAAACGCCGCGCACTATCAGCGCAGGCACGGGAGGAAGTAGCCAAAAAGCCGCCACCAACCCGCCAAGTATGGAAGCCGAAGTCTGAAGCGGCGATTCAGGCTAAGGCAAAATCGTTGCAGCCTTCGAAGCAAGGTCAACCTCCGGCGAATCAACCAAAGTCGCCGGTAATCCCAGTAGCTACTCCGGGAGATCCCGTTGAATCATCCCGAAGGAGAAAGTCAGTCTTGGAGCGTCTCGGTCCAATTCCCGATGAACGAGGCAAAGCTCCAGTTCAAGAGCGTTTGGGTCCGATGAAGAAGCCCCGAACGACTCAACACGCTGGGGGTCGCCGCCACCTCCAACATGATAAGGAGCTCAAGGCAGCTGCGCGCGCTAATTTGCGCATCGAAGTCCAAGAGCCCGCTGAGAATTCACGCCCAAAAAAGCATGTCTCGAGGCGCGTGACTCTTGAGAGCCCTAAGAAGACAGTTCGCCCTCAGAAGGAAACGTTATCGTCTGATGACGATAACGTTATACCTGAGAAATCGTGCCGACACGCGATAGGTTACTCCGACCTTCAAACCGACGAGTTGTACTATCGTGATGGGAGCACGAGGAAAACCAGGAAGAGGAGTCCCCGAGGACCGGAAACTCAATGTCCCTGTGCCAAACTCATTCGGGCAGTATTGTCTGAGTGCAACTGCATCAAGGCGGTCCCCGAAAGAGTTTCGATTTTCGAAAGGCTCAGTACCGAAACGCCGAAACCAAGACCTAGGCGTTTCCGACGAAGAAGAAGGATAGTCGAAGACGGAGAATTTTCGAGGATCACCACCAATATGACCAGCAAAAGGGCGTCGACACGGGATAATCCCGAGTCAATTCCGCCAGTACCCCGGTATCTAACTCGTCTGCAGTCTGGAGCCATTACACGAGGAACTTATGGTAGGGTTCAGACGAGATTACCGTCAGAAGATGAAGAATCGGATGCCTGCTCTGCGATTGCATCGGACAACACGGTATCCAGCGAGGGACAACCCCGCGAGGCACTCATGATAAGTGCAGAACAAGTGGCCAAGATGCTCGAAGAGGCCATGACTAAGCAGAAGGAAAGTTTCAAGTTCGAGATGGAGATGGCCATGCAGCAAATGAGAGAGATGCATGACCAACAAATCCAAGCATTGGCGAACCAGCAAGGCGAGCCAAGTCGTCGTAACCAGGTTAATCTGGAAGATGAGGCTACAAATGCGAATGAAGCGCACAATGCCAATAATCCTCCCGTCAATGCAGGGGGTGGTAACGAGAATGCTAGTGAAGACACAGGTGAAAACCTGAAGATTAAGAATCTCGAGAGCAAAATCAATACGTTGATTTCCGCTCAAGAGATGAAGAAGATGGGTATTCCTTTTCCATACCCACGAGAGTGGGAATCAATCCCATATCCGGCGAAGTTTAGTCTAATTAACTTCACGCCATTTGATGGGAAGGGTTCACCCACTCAGCATTTGATTTACTTCAAATCGCACCTGGGGGTTACTCTGGTAATGAGCCTCTGATGGTACGGTCCTTCGCTGGCACTCTTCGTGGAGCCGCCTTCGATTGGTATCGCCGTCTCAAGCCCGGAAGCATCAACAGTTGGGACGACATGGAGACTAAATTCCTCACCGATTTCTTCGACGATGACACCGAGATATCCATCGGGTCGTTGCTTGACGAAAAACAGGAAGACGGAGAATTGGTCGACACTTTCGTCAAAAGGTTCCGGAACAAGGCGATGAACTGTCGGGACCCGATCACTGAGGAGTTCATTCTCCAGACTTGCCACAACAACCTCGCATTGGACGTGTTGGAAGCAATGGGGACAGCACCGTCCAAAACATGGAAGGATTTGAAGGTCCGAGGAGAGCAAGCCGAACGCTTCCTCCGAAGGAAGAAGGCCGAGAGGAACCGACCGACGGTTAATCCGCTGAACTCAAACTTCGTCTCTCGTGATAATGGTAAGGCACCTGCAGCTGCTGATGGTGCTAATCAAACGTCACAACAGCAATCCCGAAGGCAGCAAAAGACTTCGGGTCCGAGACTCCAAAAAGAGTACTCTTTCAAGGACGAAGACGTTCCAGCCATCTTCGAATCCCTCTTTGAAAGTAACAAGATCAAGCTACCACCTATCACAAATCAGGAGGAAGCTGACAACACGACGGATTCAAAGTACTGTGCATACCACAGGAGGGTCCTTCATCCCACCAAGGATTGCTTTACTCTCAAGAATAGCATTCAGACCTTGGTTGAAGCCGGCGTTATAACGCTAAGGTAAGCCAGTTGAGAACGACACCACTCCGAAGAGTATATGAGTATAAACTGCTTCTCAATCCTCCGACCGGTATAAGAGGTTAAACTGCTCCCTGATACTCCAATAGGTATATGAGTCTAAACTATTTCCTTTCTTCCACGGGAAGTTCCTGGAGAGTGCCATGCGTGGTATTCTTAAGGATAACCCGATCATGCAACCGATACGATGATAAACCCAGTTTCGCAAGAAAAGCTGGGAGTGGATGATTCATGTAACGGGAAGTTCCCAAAAAAAATCCATATAGTGTATTTTTAGGGATAACCCGGTCACCACAGCAAGATGATGAATAAGAAACTCCCATTCAAATTCTCACCACGTCTGTGCACTCAACACTCTCATTATTAGAGTCTGGACATAATATTCGGAATTGGTCAAACCTTCCTACAGTTAGGACCAAAACCACATCTTTAGTTCGGTAATCAAACCTTCCAACAGTTAGGATTATCTGAATCTTTTCGATTCTCGGAGTGGAGATCCCACTCTTAGTTTCACCTTTCCGGATTCTGGGGGTGGAGATCCCACCTCGAGTCTCCTTTCCAACTAGAGATGGAACATAAAATTCTTCCTCTTTAGTGTTGGGAGATAGAATATAAAATTCTTCCTCTCCCGCATCGGGTTTGTCTTTGCCCCAAGAGAAGACACCACCTTTTTTCAACTCCCAAAATTTGTGCCTCACAGGTAATAGGAAGTTTATCCCGAATCCTAAGCAGGGATAAGTCTGCGCCTAACACGCGCTACCGGTTTAGTCTTTTTCCGGATTTTGGGGTATTCTATCCTGAAACCTAAGGAAGGATAAGTCTGCGCTTAACCCGCGCTGCCGGTTAGTTCTTAACCGTTAAAAAGAACACCCGTCTACATATTCAACATTGTGACAGGTTGTTATTAATAACACCAAAATCCATGCCTTATACGCATGAGGAATTTCATCCTGAATCCTAAGAAAGGATATGCCGACGCCTCACACGCGTCGCCAGTTTAGTCTTTCTCCGTAGAAAAAGACACCAGAGTTCGATTCTGGGGTATTCTATCCCGAAGCCTAAGTAGGGATAAGTCAGCGTCTAAAACACGTTGCTGGGTAGCCTATTCCCATAACAATGGCGAAGTCTACGTATTCGAAGTCGTAGCAACAAAGTCTAAGAGAATTCACTCTCTTAGCACAACGTCACACGCGGAACGGATTAAAACAATCCGTATGTAAGCCGATTCAAACGGTAGTCGGTAAGAGCACGTCAAATCCGTTGAAGGCTGGGGGTTAGCCAAAAACCCTAAAGTCAACGCCTAACACGCGTCACCGGGTAGTCTATTCCCGTGAGAAAGACGAAGTCTACGTATTCAATATCGTAGCACTAAGAGCGTTAACTCTCTTAGTACAACGTCACATGCGGAACGGATTAAAACAATCCGCATGTAAGCCCGATTCAAACGGTAGTCGGTAAGAGCACGTCAAATCCGTTGAAGGCTGAGGATTTGCCAAAAATCCTAAGTCAACGTCTCATACACGTTGCTGTTTAGTCTTTTCACAGGAGAAAGACGAAGTCTACGTATTCAATATCGTAGCACTAAGAGCGTTAACTCTCTTAGCACAACGTCACATGCGGAACGGATTTAGACAATCCGCATGTAAGCCCGATTCAAACGGTAATCGGTAAAAGCATGACAAATCCGTTGAGGGCTGAGGATTTGCCAAAAATCCTAAGTCCATAGATGTATCAACTCCGTAGATTGGTCTCGTGACTCGAGTATCCGCCACGCTCCAATTCCTTAAGAGCTTAAACTGTGTATACTCCAGCTTGGGCGCCGGACAACGCGTTGCAATGAAGCTTAGACACCGGACAACGCGTCACAAGGAAGCTCAAACGCCGGACAACCCGTTGTAAATGAAGATTCAACGCCGACGACCGACGGTCAGTTCTATGTTGAAATAACCAACTCGAGCTAAAAAGTCATAAAATCGAGAACCAACTTCAAATTCAAAATTCCGACAGACGGTCAGACAATAAATACAGCACCGGAACCCTTACAGACATTCGATGAAGCACCGAATAGCCTGAATGATTGAAGGAATCAAGAACAGAAGCCATTCCAAGGTCCCGTTACACCGACTGAAGGTTGGGACAATCATATCCAAAGTATTCCAGACTCTTCTATAAAAGAACGAGGCTGAAATACTTTGGAGGGGGTATCTGTAGGCGTATAAAATTACTTATAGGTCCCTTAGCACAGCTCGGCATAAACCGACGAACCATCGGGCGACGTATCCAAACACGAGCGTCAGTCCACAACGTCGAAGCCAAGTGACACGCAACGAAGCGAATTAACGAGGCAACGAGGCTAACGAACCGCACGCAAACAATGGAATACATCCATTCGCATGCGGAATCAAGTAAACAGTTCGGTAAGTCAACGAGTCATCCAACCATAGAACGAATTTGAACTCAAACACCGAGGCGGATTTACTGCCATATTGGGATTCAGACTGTCAAATCAGAATCCGGATCAACAACGAAGCAGGTTTACTGCCAAATCATGATTCAGATCAACAAATCAGAGTCTAAATCAACCACAAGACCGAAAAACGGTAAAAAACCACAACTCCTAGGGGACTCGGCCAAAACCGAGCCACCTCTAGGTGGCTCGGCGGCCGAGCCCCCCCTAGGTATTAGTGTGATTAAAAATGTATAAAAGCCCTTAATCTGCTAAATTTTCGTTATTGTATTTTTCTTTAGATGTACATTAAGATCATATGGAGTGGAAACAGGTTGACAGTTTGGATCATAAAAGTTCTTGAGAATTTTCTCTACCGAATTGAGAACTGAGCTTGGAGTTTTGGAGGCTTGAAGGCTTGGACATTCAGATCTGGTTCTTGGCGAGCATCCACGTCACAAAAGGCAGGAGTTCGAGAGAGAGAAATCAGATCTCAGATCTACGCAGTCATCATCCGGATCAAAGTTTGGCCTTTGATCCCGAGAACTAGGGCGATTATTTCCTTGGTGAATTAATCCCCTCCGGTTATTATTTCTTTTACGAAATAATACCCGTCATACTGCATAGATCCGACCGGATCTAGATCGCGCGGTGGTCCACGGATTAACCCCGGCGTTGGCAAAGAACCCACAAAAACGAGTGACCGCAAAACAGGAGCTCGTGATTCGTTCGAAAGGAAAGTTGTAATTTTTATTTCTTTTTCTTTGATTTCGTTGTAACCGGATCTTATAAAAAGACCGGATCTTTTGTAAGCAAAAAGCAATTACTTGAGAAAATAATGACGTCAATGAAGAACACAATTTTTCCCGCGAACAAAATACAAACTCCAATTTTCTGAAATGGATAATACAGTTGACTTTATCATGCCTGATTTTGATGAGAAGTTTGCTTAAATTTGACCAATAATTTATTCTTATCATACCTTTTTGAGCTCTTAGGCCATCTAGGAAACTCCGACACGGACTTGAGGTTTCCGTACCGGTGTCTACGTTTTGGGTGCGGTTCCGCACCCAAATGGCAAGGATACACGAGATTTATTTTCTCACACATGAGAGGGGAGTTACTAGAGCTAAGAATGAGTGTATTTGGCTGTTGGGTTTGTTTTTTGGATCCAACAACCCCACCCAAGGCTTGAAGAAGACGAACAGTTTCTCTCTCTTAAGTTTTTATTCACTTAGTGGAGAACTCTTTCTCAGTTTTTTATTCACTTAGTGGAGAATGACATCATCTCCCACATGGGCTTGTGTACCATGAGATAAGAATGGATTTTCTTTTTTATTTTTTGTTAGCTAGGATGGCAGTGATACGAATGCCACACGGTCCACACATGCTAATTACTTTTGGGATTAAAAAGTCACATGGTCCTTACTAGTCATGGAGATGTTTGAGTTAGGCTTTTTTCCCCTTTTTGAGATAGTTTGACTTGTCTTTTCTATTCTTTTTTGAAATAAAAAGCTAGAGTTTCAAAAGCTTTGCTCTATTGGGAATTTGATAATGTGTTTGAATCAAATAAAAGAACTTAAAATAAAAAGAAAAACTTGAGATAGTTAAGACAAATTTTAGCTTTTTAAATTATGAATTTCAATGGCTATATATATATATATATATATATATATATATATATATAATATATATGAGAAAAATGAGAAACTTGGTACCAAGCTACTGATAGTGATGTGGCTTCATCTTGCCCCTACATCTACATTGGAGTTGATGAAGGGTGTTGAGGTCTAACTTCAAGGTGTGATGTAGGGGCAAGATGAAGCCACATCATTACCAAATAACTGGTACAAAGTTTCTCCATTTCTCTCTCTCTCTCTCTCTCTCTCTATATATATATATATATATATATATATATATGATATATTATATATTATATCAGCCGTGTCCCTGTGTCCTAATTTTTACAAATTTTCCGTGTCCCGTACCCGCACTCGCAACCGTACCTATGCAACGTTGTAGGCCATCATATTGATGTCGAAAGTCTTAAATTCTATTCTATGCCCATCCAAATTAATAGATAATGCAGAGAAAGATTGGAGGTCTTGGAAAGTTTTGAATATCAAGACCTAAATAAAGTACAGATGAGTCTTATGTTATTGAATACTATTCAAATTGCTTGAGCATTTATTTTTACCTCAAAATTTGCCTATAGAATGCTATTATCTTTCCGTCATCAGTCTAGTAGGATTTGGAGGATGTCAACTGAGAATTTGGAGGATGTCATCTGGTCTTTTTGGTCAAACACCTCTGTCCAGAATTTCCCTGGTTAGGTGTTTAACACAATTAAGGAAGGCTCATCTTAGCATTACAAGCAATCCTAAAGTCTTCGTTTCATGGAGTGTTGTGCATCATAACCAATTCTTTTTTGATGGACAAAGTGCTCATGAGAATGGTAATTTAAATTATATAATAACAAAGCTTTCTTTACCTATCGTTGTTCACTTACACAAAAAACAAAACATCGATAGATGTATGGGAAGCGTCATTAATTCGTGCACCGGATCACTTAGGCATCAATTTAGTTCTTAGTGTCAGATATTGAAGGTTCTTAAATCTAATTGTTTATCATTTGTCTGTAGGCACCGGAATTGCTCAATGTGTTGTTTGGTTTAGGTATGCATTATTTTCTCTACTTTGATGCCTGGGATTAGCCGTTATAGGTTGTTTTTTGTTCATTAAATTACATATCATATGGAGATATTGGAGCGTCATAAATATATCTGTTTTTATTCTGGTACATGCTGTTATTTTTAATATTTAAGGTCTTTTTTTTTGGAAAAGTAAGTCTATTTGAAAAATGTGTTTTCTGCTATTTAATGTTATTCAGTTATAACATATGCTGTACGTTGACACATTTTGATTCATCACAAAATTGTATCCATGTCTGTCCGTCCAAGGAAACAATTCTCAGTGAAGTTAGATTGAGGTAATCTAGTAATTGTTCAAGGACAATATGGTATCAGTACAGCTGTCTGGATCATGTCTGTTAAATGTTGTGGAAGATTCATTATGACATCACTGTCAGATTATTGACCGTGATTTATCATTTTATTTCTTTATTGTTCATTTTAAAATTTTCTTGCTCTGGCCAGTTGGTGTTAGTTTTCCTCTGTAAATTACTTGATCAATTTTGTTTGCTTGCATGTTGTCCCATTGCTGAGCGTACCAGGAGGGTATAGAAGATCAATTTGTACAGCATTTATGGAAACTGAAAAAACATTCGTTGTTTTGTCAAATTCTAGAGGGTGAAGGTTTAAATTTATGGTGTGCAGCATAGTTGATATCATATGCCTGTCCAGACTTAGATGTCAAAGGATATAGTCATATAGCTTATGTGAATTCTGATTATCTAACAAGCAGCAGAGTGCCATTTGCAATGAGTTTGCTGGATTTGATGCCAACCCTCTACAGACATAATCTGGGTTGAAATTTCACTAGCAAGAAACCAGTCAATATCAAATCTGACCCCAACTGTTTAATTTAGTTTGCATTGTTTTTTGGGCTATGATTTTGTCTTTCTGCCATTTCAAGATTGGCAATGAAGAAGAGACAGAAACTGTAATACGAGGCACTATAGCAATCAAAGAAAAGCAGCTAGAACAAACAAATAGGAAGTGGAGCTGCATATTTCCGAAGTTTAGGTTTTCTATAGGTTTCAAATGTAAACAATAACTTTTGAGAAAACATGAATCATTAACAGTTTGAATAAATTTTTTGGGTTTTTTAGATATTAATCCCTTAAATCTTCAATAATTGCATTTTAGTCCCTCAAATCTTGGAAATTGCATATTAGCCTGTCAAATCCTTTAGGATCTTACAAAATGGTCCTTTAAGTTAAATTACATTAGATTTGATGGAAATATTCTGTCGAATCTAACAGTTGGCTGTAAAGTGATTGTATTACTCTATTATGTTACCCAACCCATTTCTTAATGGGTTTAAACCCGGTACACGCTTAAAAAAAACCAAACCTGTTGGAGTTTTTATCCTCCAATGACTAGAAAGGAATCCTAACCAAAGTTCAGCTTCACAAAGGTTTGCAATATCAGAGAGACAATTGCAAATGTAGGGTTAGGAGATAGCCAAAAGGGTTAGGAATTAACCCAACCATGGTTGGGATCTTTAACTTAAATACTAACATAGTAACCATTTTGCAAGATCCTATAGGATTTGAGTGATTAGTATGCAATTTCCAAGATTTGAGGGACAAATATGGAATTATTGAAGATTTAGGGGACTAGTATCTAAAAAACCCTAAAAATTTTCTCCATCACCTAATTACTTATTGTCCCCTCTTTAACATACCGTGTGTGCACCATGGTCCATAACTCCATATGTGCTGCTGTGGTAGCTCACCTACCAATTTTGTGCTTCTTGATTGCTCTAAGTTCTTCAAGTCGTATTTTTCTTTGATTTAAAGAATCATAGTTAAATCTCGGAAGAAACTCAACTTAAATTGAAATTTATTGATCATACTTAAACTCTCATCCGGAAATAACTCACTCTTAGTCTTTCAATCTCACTAGAACTTCAGTTAAGTTAGTGAATCATAGTTAAATTTTGGAAGAAATCCAACATAAAATCAACTGACATTGATCATATTAAGGTTCTTATCAGGACCTAACCCACGCTTAGTACCTTAATGTCATTGTTGCTATTATTTGAAGGAACAAAATGAAGAGAGTCTAATGTAACCAAATTAAAAATCTCAATGAGAGCGAACTTCTATTACATAATCTTATTAGGCCATCGTGTAGAAGAGGGTAACAAGAGAAGAGTAAAACTACAGTAGAGTGGATTGTAGTAGGAGTAAAATTTTCGATGTCGCCATCCTTTGGTGGAAGAAAGGGAGATGATTTGCAGCAGAGCATGATGCCAATTGAAGCAAAGCCAGAATACACCCACAGTCTCATATACACAACACCTGAATCCAACAATAACAAAAACTAATTGGGCTAGATTTAAAAATGTCATGCTTAAGGTTTTAAATGTTGGATGTCGGGTTTATGTTGGACAGTTAAAATTCATGTCAGATAATGAAAATCAGGGATATGTCGGGGGACATGAAAAAAATATTAGATTGACATATCGGATGGTGTGCATGTGTAATATAAATATTATATATGAAATCTAAGCATAGTTAATAAATTCTATTGTCTAAACATATAAAAAAAGTAAATAACTTATGTTACTTAGGTTGATGTTGAAGGAAAGAGGTGAGGAAAGAGGAGTCCGATGTTGGCTGTTAAAGAGAGAAGATCACCCGATATTGATATCGAAGGAACAACTCAGAGAAGAGACCGATGAGATGCCGTAGGAGAGTGAGATGATGAGCGACGAAAATGATTTCGGTCTTTTTTTCGATTTTCCCTAACTGATTGAGTTTTGTCTTTAGAAGCACTATTAAGACAATCAAGAATTTAAGTCCAAACATGATTAGATAAACATAATTTAAAAAAATCAGCCAATTTTTCAAACTAAAAAATCGGCCGACATAGCTGACATGTCCCCCGATATATCCGCCCGACATATTCGACATGACCCCCGATATAATATCCGACATGAACCCTAAATATGCAATACGCATTATATCGAGTCGGTTGGCCTCTAAATCCGACATGTTTGTTGACATTTAAAACACTGGTCATGCTATACAATGAGAATACTACCAGTATCAGCCAATCCAAATATATGACCTGTAAGTTTCCTTTAGAACTGATACATAATGGCCAACTGTATTGTGAATGAACTCTGAAGGCATAACAGTGAGTCTTGGGATAGCTAGAAACTATTAGTTGATGAGAAATTTAAATTTAGACATATATATTCTCACTAACCCCAATGTTTTCTTGTCATCTCAATGCATGTGTCATGCAAATAGTAAATATGGTTTAAATTCATTCCCTTTTAGATACGTTGGCCTGTAAGTGGACGCCTTCTGCTTTTCATGACCTTTTGAATTTGCGTTCCTGTGCTCATCTGCAAAACACCTTGAGATAATTAAGGAAGTTGCTTCTAACACTGCCTAGAAGTTCTTCTGTTAGCAGAATAAAGATGGAGCATTTTTTATTCATTTGAATTCTTAAAATTTATTAGCTGAATCATGCATGCAATAAATGGATTCTTGCTGCTCATATCCTTGTATAGTTGTACTAATATATTCACCCATTCTGTGTCTCATAACAGTAGCCTTATTTCCTGCAGCTTTTACTATTCCGATGATCATCATTACTTTATAACATGGTATTTATCATAAATCTCCAGAAATTTTGATGAGTAAATCTTGTTTCTCCATAGGTTCAGAGCTTCTTATTCGTGAACTTCCATCTCTTTTTGATGGATCTGCCAGATTGAAAGCTCAACCACAGGATGACTCTAAGGCTACTTTCGCACCCAAGGTAAATATTATCACTTCTTTACTATCTTAGTTTTTTTAAATTTTTATAATCTTTTAAGAAAAATACTCATTCAGATAGTGCATTATGTATCACGTTTTAGCAAATATAATCTTAGATTTACTTATGTTGGCTTTTAAACATCAACTAACAGCATAGGTGTCTGCATGAGGTTATAGGTTATGTATTATACAGACACAGGTTTAGGATGACAGTTAGTCTCTATATCATTGGAACTTAGCTGCACCTAAAGAAGATATGCCTTATTAGTAGAATAGCATACTGATGTTTGATGTTTATGTATATATGCTCAGAATGAACATAGTAAAAGTGTGCTTCAGTACGATATTTCTAACCTTTTTATATGTGCACTTACAACTAGATGTTTAATTATTCCATGATTTTGACCTAGGTGTTAATATATTTGAAGTCGAGATACCAAAAGCAAGTTTGCACATCAAAATAACTGCAAATTTGCGAAAAAGTATTTACAATTATGATTATTTATCAATCTATCATACTGAGAATCCACATTGGTCATTATGATCTACTAATTCGAAATACTTAGAATCATCAATAAAAGGTTTAAGAGATCTCTACTCAACTTCGACGAAAATGGCCTTCATTAATAAAGTGTCAGATTTAGGTATTCATGACTATATCTAATTACATCGAGTTTTGGTCCATGCAACGTTATGATCCTTTAGTCATGAGTAAGTATCTGGTTTCTCAGTCTGTAAATTGCACAATATAATTTACAATATTTCTTCAGGAAACAATCCATAGTTATAAGCATTTAAAAATAAATTGTCCATATTTATAAGCATTTAAAAATAAATCATGGCCTATGGTGTGGATGCTTGTTGGATGCCTCCCATGGAACATGGACAAACTGAATTTGAGCCTAGCGCTTCATGTAGTTTCTTATTCAGTTGCATGTTGACCCCCTATGAAGATGAGCATTATTTGTCTAAGAGATACAAAATTCATACATTTGCATTGATGATGCACATAGTTCTTTGAAATATTATATGCATTAAGCATCAATACAAACTATGTCATTGTTAAACTAAATGCACGATGAAAAGCAGTCGTATGTAATATATTATTTGTACTGTACTGTTTGTTACCTTAATGCATGTTGATTTCACAAACAAGGGCATTTCATCTGTGTACGTAGAAGTTGTACATAGATGCATCTGACATATGCAACCTATACCAATCACATTGGCGGTGCGTTTGGGAATAGGAAGTAATTGATTTCTGAGTTGTGAGATGCACGATGTAGTTTTATCTTGCATTGATCTGTATAGTTTCCTTTTCTGTTAGTCAATGATAATGACAAAGTGATCAGTGACTAAAACCAGAGCGATATTTGTTTTGTTATATCCAATTAGTATGGCCTATATTTAATTGCTTTAGTTTAATCTACTCATATTTTTATAAACAAATAGAAAATCTTAATAAACCTGATATATATTGCCAATACACTGTAAATGAACCGGAGCCAATTTGGACAATTCATTTAACTGCATCTTAAACTCATTGTTTTAAAAAAGTTAATGTGAGTTGAGATATATTTAGCCGATGCATCATGTGTTTTCCAGAATGCAATGTCGAAAACATAGTTTTATTATGCATGTGGTATGGGAGCACCTAACAAATTAATCAGATTAAGCTTTGATTAATTGGATTACACAGAATTATGCATTTTGAGTTTTTTAATATATATTTATTATTTATCATATGTTAAAATATATAAAATTCATGAAAATAGAAAATGTAGTAAGAAAAAGATTAACAAACATGCAATTTAACAATAAATAACTAGTTAACTACGTAAACTTTCAAGCCATATATCAAAAGTAACTACATAATAACTAGTTAACTATTTAAAAGTTCAATTTATACATCAAAAGTAACTAGATACTCAAATAAAAGTCGTTCAATTAACCACTGAAATTTAAACTAAATGTCCATAAACCAAAAACAAATCATTTAGTCTTCCTCATTATCCTCATAATGAACGAGGAGCTTCGTCAGAGATAGAAGTTTCACTGAATCATCAGAGATAGAAGCTTTGTCGAGCTAATGAAGAGCAAAGGCCAGGGTCTTGTCGTAGCCACTGGGTTCCCACGAGAGTAAAGAGAGAGAGTCGCAGTAATTGGGAAGGGCTAGGTTTTTTTTTTACTTTAGTTTGTTGGATTGGGTTTTGGGGTAAACGGGTTCAAGTCCACAATCAAATTAAAAAACAATGCCCACATAAGCAAATTATGCGGGTATTTACTTAAAAATCGACCAATTAAGCGGGTGTTCGCATAATTGAGCACATAGCTCAAATGTTGTGCATTCTTATCCAGCTTTCGCTTATGCGGGTGATTAAGCAGGCGCTTAAACTTTTTTTAGAACACTGCCAAAATGAATGGCTTTAAGTTCCTTAAAAGGCCAGATTTTTTCCCTTACCTTATCCGTTAGTTTGGATCTCAATGAGTGACATGCCTGACTGATCTTGGTTTTCCGTCACATATTACATGTATAAGTAGACTCTTACAATACACCCTGTTACATTATAAACCTTTTACTTCATGGGTGCATCACATTATTTTCATCATAGAGTATCCTAGTTTCCCTCGGACTATTGTATTATGATTGCAGGAGTCGTGTCACATCGGATATCTTAATTTTACGTCACATATTTCTCAAAGTATCTTATATGCTTTAAACTCTCTGATTCTGTAATGTCATTTTTTCTTTGTTCTGTGACCTGACACCTAGATATTGGACCTATTTAAACCCTAGTTCTAGGAACTTCTTGGTTTGGTCATTCATGCTGGTTGTTCCCATTTTTGACCGTGAGATCCCGATCGCAACTAGAACAAAAAGCATGGGATAATTCTTTCTCTAATTACAAAAACCTTGTTTTGTCCGTCTTTTATTCTTTTTAGAAAGTGGAAAACTACTAATTTAATCGAGTTAATAATGAAACAAAGTCCACCAGAAAATATTGTACATATTACATGTAAACATCACTAAGAATTAAGAATACAGATAGAGCTGGGAGCATAGGGTACTTGAGCTAATTCGACTTATAAATAAAAACAGTGACATTGTAAATCTTTTGACTCACCTTTAATATTAGAGTGGGCATAATTTTACTTTTGAGAGTCTTGCTATAGTATGTAGCATGGACATTTCTATCATGAAGTCCCACCCGTTTTAGGCACATCATCGATGTGTCCTGGGACACTTCTTAGATACACATTGGGCTTTTTTTATTAGTGGAAAAGGGAAAAAAAGGAAAAGAAGAAGAAGAAGAAGAAGAATGAAGGTAAGGAAGAAGAAGAATGAAGAAGAGAGAGCGGGTGACGTCAAAATGAAAATGCTATGTTAAATTTACAGAACAATTAGATTGTGAATCTGTTTAACATCTCTTGTCATTTGTAAAGATATACAAAAATAGTTGCGTTATAAAAAATCTCGTCATTTCCTGAAACTTGTAAAAGACAACGAGTTTGTAAATTATGAAGATATATCATAGTCCATAGATGTGATATATCATTAGTGGGATATCTTGGATGGTGTGAAAGAGGTACTTTGAGAAGCATAATCTCTATGAGATTTATTATACATGAACAGATGGATTTGGCAAACCACCATCTAATGGGTATTTCATTTTCTTTTACCCTTTTGTTCAGCTATCATCTGAAGAATCTTGGCTCTCTTTTGACCAAGAAGCCAGATCAATTCATAACAAGGTAAGCCTTAATTCTTATTTACACGCTTAGATAAGTAAACTACAAACCCAATTCTCTAGGTTCGAGCATTTGCAGGTTGGCCAGGAACCCGAGCTAGAGTTCAAGTTATTGATGACAGTGGTCATCACAGTCTCTTAGAAATTAAGATCATTACATCAAGGGTTGGCAGAAAAATTGAAAAGTTAAGTGATGGAAAGGAGATCATATTCATCAGTGGTGCACTTGTTTTCCCATGTGCTGGAGAATCTTGGCTTGAGGTACCTAACATGTCCCTATACACAAGTACATATATGTTTAGTGTTTTTAACGTGTGTAAAAACTAAATGTGTGTACACGACTAGAAATTCTTACGCTAAAGACTTTTCAGTTATTTCCTTTGCTTTCTCTTTTGTAAGGTCCTTGAGCTTCAGCTCCCAGGTAAGAAGGTGATGACTGCTCGTGATTTTTGGAATGGCTTGAGAGGACAGAAGCTGCAGAAATTACCATAACAGGATTCTTTCATATTTTTAGTGGTAATCCTATTGGCAATTTCATTAATATATCTTTCTAATAATACAACTGCATCTTTGTGTCAATGCTTTGAATTTCATCTCTCCTCATTTAGCTGCTATACAAAAGAAAAATTTTATAAACTTTTTTTTCTTCCTTTGTGTGGAGAGGATAAAATATCATCTCCATATGAAGGTAAACATTATTTGGCCTGACAACCCTAACTATAATACTTGGCAGCCCATGATTTTTCTTACCTTTTGACTATTATTTGTATCTCAAGTCTTCATACTAGGTGTGAATGAGAGCTCCTTTTTAACTACATGTGTGTGCGGGCGTGCATGCGAGGGGGTGGCTCATTTTATGAAATGATCTACCAAGATATTAAGGTGGTGAGGCCCACCCATTTTGTGTGACCAGTAAGGCGGGCGCCACGACTTTTTCATCCTTCGGTAGCTCACACACACACTGATAGTCGAATACTATTATTGGTATCGACACACACACACACACACACTGATAATCGAATACTATTATTGGTATCGACTCTTGAATCTAAATCGGTAATTCATGATCTTGGTAGCACGAGTTTAGAAACCTACAAATATGAGATTGTTAGTCTACCTATGCTTGGATTAAGGCAATTTATCAAGATGTAGTGGCCACAATAAACTTTAGCATGAAACGCTAATTACCCGTGGTCTTGTGCCTTAATTAGAGCTAATCCAACGATCAAATAATATTTTCTCTTTAGCATATAATTGCATTTTAAGTCATTTTGGGCTGCCATGTGAATTTTGCATAAAAACCCTCTCAATTTGCACAAATTTCTTTTTCCTTTATCACATCACAACCTATATAAACCTCCACTCACTCTCCCTCCCTCTCTCTTTTTTTTCTCTTGAGAAAAAAGAGACCCATCTCACCCTCTTCTCTCCCTCTCTTGGCCAGCCAAGCTCAGCCCCAAAAAACCCCTATATCCCCATTGCAATTTCTCCATCAAGCACTTTCTCGCTCAAATTAAAGGAGTAGAAGCAAGTTCTAGGAGAAATTCTAAGCACTTCTTGGTAGAAATGAACTTAGGGCAACTTCTAAATATAGTTTTAAACCCTATTTCACTCATGCTTTATTTTGAGTCTTGAATCTGATTTTGATATCAAATGAAGTTAGTCATGCATACTCAACTTTGGTGATATAGCACGTTCAATTAGGGTTTGGGGAAATTTTGCCCATATGCATGTCCCTTTTTGTCGACAAAGCCACCACCTTTATACCTTGTAACCAATAAAGCTGTGATCTTTCTTAGTTTTATTGGTACTTAATATCGTATTCATGGTTGTATGTCTCTGGTTACTATCTTGTCAAGCAATATTTGTATGCCTAGAGCTTGCAAGTCGATAAGTTTATCATTCAGCCACGTTTTTCAGTTTCCAGCAGGACACTCTGTTAGTATTTTGATCATATCTCTCTTTGTACATGTCAATTTCTAAAAATGTTTTCTGTTTTAGAAACTAGACTCAATTATCTATCTTTTGAATCTGGTTTGAGATAATTTGGATGTCAATTGTAATTTCGAATCTATGGTTAAAGTCAATGCATGTGTCCTGGTCAAACAGCTTGACCCTTCCTGATTTAATTGTTTATATCTTTGCCTATGTTTGGGATATGATGATATGGACTTTTAATATAGAAAATAAACTTGCCATGCTTTCTTCAGTAAAAATTTATCAAGTTTTGATGAATTTTTGTTAACCAAAACCCGTGGGAGATTCAGGACATACATCTGTTTTTTGTATGTTGTTATATTGATGATGCCCATGAACCTTTAAGACCATATCTCCCTGTACATTGTCCATATTTTTAAAACCCATTGATGTTTTAGAAACTAAACTCGCTTATTAGGGGTGGTAAACGATTAAATCGAATCGAATACTAAGGTGTTTGTATTTGTCTTTGTTTAAAATTATCAAATTCGAATGACTCTAATATTCATATATGGAGTTTTTCGAACTCGAACTCGAATACTTGGTATATGATAATGATAATATTAATGAATATATATGAATACTTATCGAATATCAAAGTATATTTATTTCCCTAAAGAATTTGATTTTTAAATAGTATTTAAATTCATAAATAAAAAATATTCCTTTATGATTTATAATGTATATATATTTAAATCAAAATTTCATTAGAAAACAGATTTAAGGAGGCGGCAAAGAAGAAGAAGAATGCGAGCAGGCAGAGGTTATCGCCCTATTCAACAAGCCCTGCCCTATTGAGGTGAGGCAATCAATCTATTTTGAAAGCAGATTTCAAACTGTAATGCCTAGCTTGATGGTGAGATTAATTACGAGAAATTGTCATCTCTTTGCTTTTGTTACCGGCGGATGTTACTGTTCAAATTGATTTGTCAAGTGTGAATATCCTACTCATTATTTTTGTAAAGCAATAGCTATACGCCTATACGTTTGCTCGGAAAGCATGAATCGAGCTGACGACCTTCCCAGTCGCGGACTCACTTTGTGAACCGAACTCCCTGTCAAAGAGAAATTAGTACATAAAACTTAAGTAGAAATGGTAAGTAGGTTAAAAATATGACATCATATGTGTAATAATACAAATAATAAGTGATCAAATTTTAAACGAATATTTGATAGACAAACGAATCTAATATACATTTGGCTAAATTCTATTCTTTAGTAAACTCGAATACTAAAAAGTATTTGTTTAGTGGTAAATGAACTACCGAATCGAATATGGCCGAATAGTTACTCGAATATTTATCGAACTATTTGTTAATTATTTGGTTCATATCCACCATTATCGCTTATGAACCTTTTAGTTCTAGTTTTACTTAGGACATCATTTGAATCCTTAATCAGCCACATGTATCTTTCAATACGATACGTTCTTTCAGTCGGTGCGTGTCACACATTTTTGAGTATAACTAAGTCTCTGGTTGCTAAACTGATAAACACTTGATGTTTTAGAAAGTAAACTCATGTAGGAATAATACGACCCTAAGTTCACACAATTTGGACAATGTTCGATTACCCTTTTCGCTGTTGCAATCTATGGCATAGTCGATGTCCTTTCTATTCATTCATGATCATGCATTGCATATGGCTTCATATGTATTCAAGCATGTGAATGTGTGTGTGTGTATATATGAGTGACCCTCTTGGAACTATTTGATGGTGCCAAGGAGTTTGTCACAAAACATAGATAATCTTTCCTTGGTTCCTCTCAACTCATTGAGAGTTCGATTGTTTACCTTCTTAAAAATTTCATGTTCAGTTGTGTCTTATTGAATTACTTTATGCGTAGGTTGATTGCTGATTATTGTTCATAGCTATACCTTTGTCTGTTCGTTTTCAATATTGTGCTATTGAAACTTGGAAGTTGATTGTGATATGATGAGTCATATCTTATTTCAATGACTCTATTGCCTTAATTGGTGACAATTTTTATTTATTGTTGGTTGCATTATATTCACGGATTAGTGCCCTTTATGTGAGGTGGGTGATAAATAAAAATAGTCCTAGGAAACGTTGTCCTTTACATGAGGAAGCTCTACAGTGGGTGTTTATTTGAAAGCGTGCATGATTTATTGATACATCTTGTGATTTGGAAATTTAGAATCCTTAATATTGACTATTGAGCTTGATTATTCACTAATTGATATTACCATGTTTCCTTTTGATTATCGAATTACATTCTGAGATTTAGTAATTCGTTATTAATATCTGAAGTTTCAATTTGAATGTTTACACTTCCATTCCTTCCTAACCACGGTTGTACACCCGATATGTTTATGGTTGTCTATTGGGCCTTAAGCTCACATTTTTTTTGTATCCATTCGCAGATACAGAGCCAATTAAGGGCAATGGGATCGTAAACCCCGAAGAAGACTAGCTCATCTAAGGTAGAAGTAGACTTTTATCTTTTAGGTAGTTGGACATATAATAATGCATTTAAATAGTTGGAAATATAATAATACATCTTGTAACTCTAAGATCAGATTATGTGGTGTAATATTATTCCATTTAGCTTTTCTTGCTATACTGGTATTCTGTGGATACTGCTGTCAACCTTGTGATTCTGAAAATTTTAAAATATTTGTTGTTATATTCTATTCTTTGATAATACTTTGGATAGGATTGTATATAAGAATTGAGTAGGTTGACCCCTTGTCTTACGGTCGGGACATACCAAATTTTTATACCGTCCCAGGCCCCGCATCGGTCGTGGTTTTGGCAGCCGTTACATATATAACGCGCATGCGTGTGCCTTTGTGTGTGTTTGTGTGTGCGTGCGTCTACATACATACATACATACAAAATAAGTATTAAGCCTGTGCTCACACGGATTATTTTGATTTCTTAGGTTTATATATGTTTGTTTATACACCCTTTGAATACCCTAAGTTTCCTTTCTGTAATAAGCGAGATGATTGATTATAATTGTTTGTAGATTATAACTTATGGATCATCTATGACCTAATACATTAAATGCTTATGGAGGAAGAGACAATGAGTACATCTTTTTTTCTATGTTATGAGAAAAGAAAAATGGAGGTTTTTTTTTATCAATTAAAGTAGATAGTCTAAGTGGTGAGATTTTTCTTAGATAACTTAAAAACCTTAAGTTTGAAATTCAGAATTAGATAGTTTAACTGTCAATCTCTCCTTTACCACTCTAAAATTCGGATTTTAAAAAGTACAAATCAACTAGAGTTTCAATGTCTCAAGATTTCAATGAATGTTCATGCCACGTCTTAGGTTAGCGAGTCTGTTGGTATGATGTACGCCTTATAATCCACTGATTGTAGCTCGTTGTTTGGCTTGATCCACTGCCAAAAATTACTAACAATTGTGGCAACTTGAATCTCATATTTTAACCATTTAATCAATCATTACATGACGTGGGACAATTTTATTTATTTATTTATTTATTTGGGGGGGGGGTGGGTATTATTTCCCCAAGTTGGAATTTGTTAAATTTTAAGGAGTTATTTGTAATATTTTGAAGTTTTCAGCATGGTGTTTGTTACTTTAGCAACTTTTATGGGGCTAGTTGTAAAATTTTTAAATGGTATTTTGTAAAATTTTCTAGAGGATATTTATTGTTATAATCTCAAAATTAACAAGTGTTAATCTCCGTAGAGAAACCGACACGTGTTTCACCCATCGCCTAAATTACACGAATTGAGGCCAAGACGACTCCAATCCACTCCCACGGCCAACCCTATGGGCCGACAACTTGTGTAGCCGAGACAAAAAGTTGTAGTTGTTAGCCACTCCACTCGATCGGCCTTATGGGTCGACAACTTATGTAGCTAAGTCAAAAGGCGGTACTTGTTGGCCACCCCACGTGGTTGATTTTAGGGCCGAAAACTTGCGTAGCTGAGTCAAAAGGCAGTGTTTCTCAGCACTACACTAAACAAACAGAGAAGCGACAGTTATCTCGAACCCCCCGCTAGCCGACAGCTCTCGCATTAACTGCTTTGACAAAATCATCATTACTCTAGCCCTTATAGTCTTTATGACTCATCGGACCCAATCAACTCCAAGCGCCTAGTGTCATCCCCTCATTAAAAAACCAGATGACTCACTTTCTTCTACGGCGGACATTTGGAGGGTACCTGCTGACTCAACCTGCATGGGGAAACTTCTTCTATGTTTTGGCAACTTAGAATAACTACTTACACACTTTGTCCTTGATTTCCCCCCTCAAGATCAAAATACTGATTTGATCGTCAGAGGAACAACAAGAAAGCACAACTCCGCCCCCTCATGAGATTTTCATGTGCAGGGAAGAACATCGGGCTTTGGAACCAGTTATCCGGAGAAGTTTGAGGACCCTAATGTAAAACCCTAAAAATTTTTGAAATAATTTTTTATGAGCTCAGTTTGGAATCGATTTGTGATCGATTCGCAGTTTCAGCCTCGATATCGTGACTCTACTGAAAACTGTTACTATTTTATTTTTAGTAATTTTTCTGTTGATCAGATGTGCACAAGATTTGCGCCATTAATCTTAGAATGTTAAGACCGTGCTGCGGTTAAAATTTTGTTGTGTTCTGACGACGGAGACTGAAATACTATTTTGAGACGGTGTCGCGAGTCTGTTGCCATCTGTCGAATTTTTTTTGATTAGATGTGTCACGCCCCGAAACTACAGCGGAAAATCATAAAATACGGGGTACGCGACAGCAGCGACCCGTGCACGAGACAAGTCTTATGCACAAGTCAAGCCTGGCAAATCATATCGCATAGTTTATTTTCAAAATATTCATAAACCTGCTGATGATAGAAATCAGAGCAACTATATATATATGATTGGTACTTACAGCCCACAAGCTCACCGTTATAAGTATTTTTACAAAACAAAACGAAATATGCTGAAGGTAACATCAACAAGAAGAGGCTCTCCATATAACGCCTCTCAGCCAAAAGCTCAAACCCAAAAGTCGGCTAATAGGAAGCTACGCCGGATCTGAAAAATATTAAAAACAACGGAATGAGCTAGCGCTCAGTGAGAACATTTCCCACTAGAGTTCCTAGATAACTAATAAAATAGTAATAAGAATAATTCTCATAAATAACGAAATTGCAAAATTTGCATGAGAAATTCAAAGATAATAAACTACGATCCAAATATCGTAATATTGTCATTTTTAAGAAAGAATACAACAATTATATTTTCTTTCTCATGTGCAATCGAATAAATTGTGAAATTTCTTGAAATCAAACTCTTTTTTTGAATCAAGGTAAACATTAAGAAGAAAAGAACTACTAATTTGGGCAAAATCAGAGAATTGTTGTT